GGCTTACCCGGATGTATTTCTGCAAGTGGAAAAAATATGTAAGAATCTGGCATTTCCATATGAGTGGAAAGTCAGTGTGTGGGCTTGGAGAATACAAATGCTTTCTTCCTCTTCAGATATCTAATGTGGATTCTGCTGGTAAAAGCAGGAAGGAAATAAACAGAGAAAAAAAGTAAACAGGAGGATGTAAAAGGAGCAGATAAATGTGTTGTGCCACGTGTTTTAGGGACACCCTCCCTGAGCAGGGAGGTGGGACCAGATGACCCACTGTGGTTCCTTCCAACCTGACCCTTCTGTAGTTCTGTGATTCCTTGAAATGCTCCTGAGTTGTTTGCAGGGGAGTGCATGTAGAGCACAGTAACATCTGGTGCTCTGTAAGCACATCAGACTGATGTGGCTTATCCTGGAAACCAGATTAATGGAATAAACAGGACAATGCTGAGGCAGAAATTAGGAGCAGCTGCCCCAAGTGAGGCTGCGTGGAATAAACTGTTATGAGAAGGCTTTAAGAGACAGCACTTGAAACTAGGAAGGGTCTCTGAGGTGTCTTGCTCCTGGTAGTGTGCAGGGAGAAAAAAAATGGAGAATGTTGTATTAGCATGACACACCTGCTACATGTTAACTGTGATTCGAAAGTATGGTATATTCTGAAAGCAAGTTACTTTGCCAAAAAAATAATGTTGAAAGTGCTTTGTGCTCCTGTATGGCTGGTTTAGAAGAAAGTCACTTCAGCAGCTTTTGTATAGTGGTTAAAAAGATGCTAAAATGTGAAGATTAATATAATGAGATGGACTGTAATTCTAAACAATCAGTGCTGTTAAATTTTGTTTTGTTTTTAGTGTTGTTTTATGTATATTTATTTACTATTTTGAGTGTCTTTGTCCTCAGTTCTTGGGCAGCCTGCCTGTTTTGTGTACAGACAAAAACACTGGCTGCTGACTTTGGGCTTTTGCATCCTTGTGGGAGAGGATACTGAAACAGGGTCCCCCTGAAGCAAACACTAACTTGCACTGTGGCTTTTTAAGCTGAGAAATTGTAAATTCCTAATCAATCAAATGAAGAAAGACTGTTTTATTACAGCTTGATGCTTTTCCTTAGCCCTTATTGCAAGTAGGTTACACATCCCTCCCAGTGAAGGTAAAGAGGAATCTGCCTCAGGAACATCCTCAGCTTCTTGAAGGTCGAGTTCTCCACCTTCTCCCACCAGCAGTGACTTGGTCCTGCACCAGCCAAGGATGTTTGCCGAGACAAACTGGTTTTATCTTTACTGGGATGGATGTTAAACTTCTCTACACCTCCCCCTCACTTCATCGCTGCTTTTTGTCCATCCCCAGTCCCAGTGTAGCTCAAGAGGAAAGGCAGAAAGGGGTCTGCAGGCTCTGGAGGGAACTTCAGGGATTAATGGGTTGACAGGAGCTGTTCCTGTGGAAGAAGCTTTTCCTGGCCTGAGCAGTGGTGTCACTGCTGTGTTCAAGTCCTTCCACTGATCCCACCCAGAGCAGGGCCCAGCCCAAAAGCTGACTCTCCTACTCACCTGTATTGCAGGGTAGAGTCAAAGGGTGTGATGGAACACCTGCCTGCCCTCTGGCTTCCTGAGATCCCTAGAAAACCCTTCCCCAGCAAATTGTGTTTAGCAACAGAAATTCTTCAGTATTAGCAGCAGCTCTGTATTGGGGTAGAACCCCTTGAGATAAGATGTTCACCTTTTTTCATGATGAACTCTTATTCTCAAGGGGTTAAATCATCCTGGGCTGACTCTTGCAAGATTTTAACACTGATGGGGATTTAAAGTGGCTTAGCAGCAATGAAATAAAATCCCTCAATAGTGTCTGATGCTTAAACAGAATTTAAAATATGCATGACTTTCATTTTTTATGTGGAGGTTGTAACAAGCTTCACCAGAGGTTAAAGTACATCCTTGGTACTTTAGTGTGTATGTAGAGACTATGCCAAATGGCTCTAGGAGGGTCTTTATGGTCTTTAAAGCACATTAATAAAAAAATTATGAGGAAAAAATCTGCCTTGTATCTACAAGATCAGTGTGGCTTTGAAGAGCATGACTTGTGTTGTCTCATACAGGGAAGTGGGAAAGCAGGATTTTATTTATCCCTCTTTAGTAGAACATTCCTTTGCCATATCTGAAACTAATGAATGTAAACTTGTGCCTATTTTTTTTTCTTGATTTCCTAAAGGTGTAAAAATCTGTTCTTGTTTTGCTTTTATCTTTTTCTTTGCAGCTAATTTTTTAAAAATATCTTTAATCTTAGGATGTGGGCATTACAAGTAAAATAAAACTTTCCTTCCTGATTGTGGTTTTTGTTCCTAAATTTCCTGGAGAAACATGCTAGAAACTCAGTCTTTGGTTTCTTATTTAGGTGACAGTTGTGGTGGCACCTCTGCTGCTAGTGATGGTATCAAACATCTTGCTGTTCCTAGGGCTAAAATGAGGAACTTGAAAGGTTTAAGTGTAAAGTTAAAGGGTTTGATTGCATGGGGAATCTTCCTGGCTCTGCTGAAAAGTCCACAGATGAAGAGGGCTATAAAATAAACAAAACTCCTTGTACTTTGAGCTGTGGTTGGAAAACTGTGGGGTTTCATTTTTCAGATTTTTCTGTGGTGGTTTGGCTGTGTTGGGGTGTGGTGTGAGTAGGCTGTGATGAAGAGATAACAGAAATCCCAGTGAGGAGCAGAATCTCTTAAACATTGTCCAAGTTCCTGCAGCATTTACCAGCTTCCCAAACTCTGTGAAACCCAGACTAAAGCCTGTGGGTTGGTATCAGAGCTGCTTATCTGCTGAGCAAGGCAAGAAAATCATCTTGCTCTCCTGAAACAACTGCAGTGGATTTAAATACTTTCATTTTCAAACGATAAAGAAACCAGACTGAATCAGATTGGCTGATTCTTCCACAGTGATTAAAATTTCATCCCTACGCTTAAAAATAAAAAAAGTAAAAACGAGACTCTGTTAGCATTAATGCAAGCCTGTCATGAATTCGGATATATGCAAATAAAATGTTCATGGATAGGAAAATTTTTGTCTCACGCCACACCCTGATCATTAGTTGAGAGAGTTAAAAGGAGTTTATCTCAGTTTCCATGGAGTCAGACTCCACACTCATTACAGCTCCAGAGCAGCTTTGTGCTTTCTTGTGTGAGGCACAGAGCAAAGGCTGCTCCATGTATTGACACTTTTTTCTCCTGTTCAGGAAGGAGTGGGTGAATACAGCAATGAAGCCCACAATTTTCAGTACTTGTCATGGTACATAGATCAAATGTAATCCACTCTGCCAGCATAACTCTACATTCAATAGCTTGGAAAGGAGGAGATTTATTTAACTTGAATAATGAAAGGAGTAAATCACTCATGCTCCCTCATAGCAGTCTTCTGCGATGAAGTGAGCTCCTGCAGTAAATATTTTCTCTTTCTTGCCAAATTATAAGACTTTAATACTATTTTACTTCTTGAAATGCCAGGGAGAATGTCAGCTATGAAGAGCTTGTTGAAATTAATGGGACATAATCATAATTGAAGAGGGTATATTACAACTGCAGGAAAAGGAGTTTTCTATCCTTTTTGAAATCTTAATTAATAGGCTGGAAATCCTGGTCCATGTGCTTCCCTGACACAAATTAAAGGCAATCCCATGCCTTTGTTGATCACTTCTTTTGGGCCTCTTGCATATTTATTTTTCTATATCTTTTTTGTTTATATTGAATTAACTTGGCTGTTTGGTCTGAAGGTGGATTTGCCTTCTGAAAGCTTTTCTGTCCAATGCTGCTCCATGTTCTGCTTTTCCTGAGGCTCCCCAGGTAAGTCTTATTTCTGGGGTCACACATGGGAACACTTCTTTTGGCTTGGTCTTCAAAGTGATTTCAGTAGTTAAGGTATTTGGGGGGGAAAATAAAAGTATCACCTGGACCAGGTGTTTGCCTGGCCTTTGCAGAATCTTTAAAGGATTTTCTGCCAGGACTTAGGAAGAAATTGTTGCCTGTGAGTAAAGCCAGGTTGGACAGGGCTTGGAGCCACCTGGGCTAGTGGAAGGGGTGAAATGAGATGGGCCTTAAGGTGCTTTATCAAGCAAACCATTGTGAGATTCGATGACTTTACTTCAGGTTTTTATTTTCACGTGTGCACACCCACACGGGAGCGGGTTGTTCTTTACACCTGCGGTTCCTAGGTGTTGTATAAAAAAATCCAAATATTCTCTTTAAACAGCGCTTTGGACATTACCAATAACTTCTGTTTGGGGCAAAGAGAAATGTGCCTGGGGTAGGGCAGTGATGTAGATGCTGTGATGTAGAGCTGAATGGAGTAATACTCTTCTGAAATTAACCATTTTCATTTAAATTACTTTTCTTCTTTTTTTCTTTTTTATTTTCGGTAGTTTGTTTTGGTTTTTTTTGCTTTTTTTTTTTTAACAGCAACTGTGGCGGCTGCAGAGGGCTGTGAGGGCAGCCCGGGCGGCACCAGAACGGGAACCCGCGGGGTGTGAGGGATGTGAGGGGAGCCGGGGCTGTTCCCGCCGAGGTGTGAGGGGAACCTGGGGCGGGGCGGGTCGCGCCGGGAGCAGGGATGCGAGGGGAGCCCGGGCCGTTCTCTCCGGGCTCTGAGGGGGCCCAGCCCGGCCATTTTCCCGCCGAGCCCCCGCCTCACCGCCCCGCGCCCGCCGCGCCACCGCCAACGCTGATTGGCTGAGAACTAGCGCCAGAGCGAGGTGCTGATTGGCCCATCCGCACGGCAGCGCTGGCCAATGACGAAACGCCATGCAGCCCGCCTTTCCTCCGACTGGCTGTGCCGCTCCCTACGCCCGCCCACTGCCGGGCCGCGGTGCCGCCAACCGATTGGCTGAGGCCCTCCCCGGGCTGGATGTTTAATTGGGCGGTGCTGGGCTGCCCGGCGCCTCACCTGCCGCGCGCCGCCATTGGCCCGCCGCTCCCCGCGCCCCCGCCCATTGGCCGCACCGCCCCTCAAGAGCGTCCCGATTGGCCGTAGCGGCCCGGCCCGGTATCCGGGTAAGATGGCCGCAGTCGGGGAGTGCTCGCTGCCCGCGCCGTGGCGGCCGGTCTCCCTCACTCACGTCGAGTATCCCGCAGGTAACGCTCCGTTTCGCCGCCGCCGGGCCTCCCCACCGCACCTCCGGGCGCAGCGGGCCCCTTCCCGCCGCCCCGCGGCGGCGCCGCGGGCCGCGCTGGCGGCTGCCAAATAGTGAGCCATTGAGCAGCAGCGCTGAGGCGGCAGGCCGCGCGTGCGCGTTGGGGGCGGCGAGGCGCTCTGCCAGATTGGGAGCCGCGGCGGGAGCGGCGATGCGCATGCGTGGTGGGGGCTCCGGGCTGGGGGGCTGCGGGAGGGGGGGACGGGGAAGGGGACCGGGAATGGGCTCGGGGGCGGGCGGCTCCGTCCCGGGGATCCCGGAGCCGCCCGGCCCTCCACTGCCTCCCTGCCCGCTCCACACCGCCGCCTCGCCGCCCCTGCAGCCCTCTGGCCATGTGCAGTACCCCTGGCTTCGAGGCGAGGGTCCCACCCACGGTGTGCAGCTCCCGGTGCCGCCTCAGCAGCTGCCGGTGTCGGTGTCACCTCCCTGTTCCGAGCGCTGAGGTCTGGCTCGGTGTGTCACCGTGCCGGGGGCTCTGGGGGCCCTGATGCCCCTCAGGGAGCGGGGATGTGCCACGGGGGCCGTGTCCCCTGGGTGGGCTCGGCTGCTAGGGCAGTGCGGGGCTGTGCTGGCAGTGAGGGTGGCAGCGTGTCCCTGTCCCTGTGGATCCGGGGCTTTTCCTGGGAGCACTTTGGTCAATCAGCGCTGAGGGAAATGCCCCGAGCGCTCCGGGCAGAGGAGGTTTTGTGGCTCAGCTCTGGCCAAGGTGGGTTTGTGTCCTGGTTGAGGAGCAGTGGGTGCCTGAGTGCAGGGTGGGCTGTTCCAGCTGGGACAGGTGTGACCCTCAAAGCTCCTCACACCAGCTGGAATGGGTTCTGATGTGCGAGAGCAAACGGGTCTGTGTTCAGCTGGCAAGTGCCCAAACTGTGTCCCATCAGTACCTGTGGGGTTTGGAGCTCCTGTGGGTGCTTTGTGCTGTGCTGGGTTTGGGTGCTTGTTATAATCAGAGATAATAGAAAAATGAACTGTCAGAGTTACAGCATTAACCATTTGCTCAGAATCCAAATCTTGTCTAAACTCTGTTCTCAATATTTCCAGTTCCCAGCTTGCCATGGAGTGTTGCTGTATGTCCTGTTTCAGTAGCTGGATTTTAGCTCCTGATGAAAGCTCCTCTCAGCAGTGCAATTCCTAAAGCTTTTAAAGTGCTTAGGGATCTTCTGGGTTGAAAGTGCCCATTTAGCTAGGAGACTTGAAATGTGACAACACTGAAAAAATATCTGGCACTGGAGATACATTATTTCTTGGCCCTCCCTCTTATGGCTGTTTGATGGTTTTCTGTGATGCTTTATGTGAAATACTGGCATTTCCTTTTCTGTCTTGCATTTTCCTCCACACTGTCAGCTCCTCTGCCATCCCCCTTCTCAAATATATTAATGTGTCAGTTTTGGAGAGATGGGAAATAATCTTGCCAGTAGTACTGATATGTTCATCTTTGTATCTTATCTTCTTATCTGAACCTGGCAGTATACGCAGAGCGTCCTGTGCTCCATTTGTTGGATTGGTTTGGGAAATGAAGGTGGTGGAAATCCCTGCACAAGGGTTATCTGTCAGATCTTGAACAATGTGACATAACCTGAATATTTTCTCTCTACGTTGAGAGCTCTTAGACAGGCAAAGGGAGGAGGTGATTGTATGGAGGGTTAAATTATCACCCAGCTTAGGGTTGTGTTTGGAGGGGATGGGCACTGTGTTTATCTTGGATAAAATGTGTTTATGAAAGCCTATAAAGTGGAGACAAAGGACTAAAACAATAAAACAGCTGGGGGTATAAAAGTTTGTTAATTTATTTTCATAGAATCATTTAAGTTGCAGAAGCCCCTGAGATCACAGAGTCCAGCTGTTCCTCCAGCACTGCCAAGGCCACCACTAAACCCCATCCTCAAGTGCCACATTTGCACAGCTCTGAAATCCCTGCAGGCACGGGGAGTCCACCACTGCCCTGGGCAGCTGTGCTGGGGCTGGATAACACTTTCTGTGAAGAAGCTTTTCTTAATATCCAAGTTCAAACCTTCCCTGGTGCAGCTGTGGCTGTTTCCTCTTCTCCTGTCCCTGTTCCCTGGGTGCAGAGCCTGATGCCTGTCCCTCAGCTGTCAGGGAGTTGTGCAGAGCCAGAAGGTCCCTCCAGGCTGAGCCCCTCCATCTCCCTCAGCTGCTCCTGGTGCTCCAGATCCCTCCCCAGCTCCGTTCCCCCCTCTGGACATGCTTCAGCCCCTCAGTGCCTTTCTTGTTGTGGGGGGCACAAAGCTGCCCCCAGGGTTTGAGGTGGGGCCTTAGCAGTGTCCAGCACAGGGAGATTTGGTGTCATCAGTGGGCACTTGATCTCCTTGGCCAGTTCATGAATAAACATATGAAACAGAACCTGCCTCAGAGCTGAGCCCAGCCCCAGCTGCATTTAGCTCCATTCCCCACCAGTCTGGGCCTGGACAGGGTTTTTACCTGGAAAACAGAGCAGCTGTCCAAGCTGTGGATGTTCTCCAGGAGAATGCTGTGGAAAGCAGTGTCAAAGGCTTTACCAAGGCAAGGCAGATGACATTTTGGTCTAAAATAATGACTTGCAGTAAAGCACAGATCTGAAGCTTTTACCTGGGTTTGGGGAAAGTGCTCTTAACTTTCTTTAGAAAGCTGTTTACATTCAGCCTGGGCACATCTGAACTGCAGGTCCATGAAGTGCCTGGCTAATGTATATTTATAAAGGAGTGGTGTTGGCAGCAGGTTCAGCACAGTGGAGTTAATGCAGCCTCGTGCTGCTGAGAGGGTCGGAACGAGAAATGGATCCTGCTTTTACCAACATCAATTATTAAGCTGTCTTGGCATGTCATGCACTGCTCTGTGGCAAACAGCTTCGGCTCTTGGCTGATCCCAGAGGCTGCTGAGCTGCTGTGGCAACTGCCTCTGAAAATCTCACATCTTTAAAGATTCCCAGTGCAGAGCCCCAGCTTTCATCTGCCTGGGTGATGGTCCTGCTCCCTGGGTAAAAAGCTGTCACTGCTGATTCCTGCCTGGCAGATGAAGCCTGCATTTGGGCTTCTGCTTCTAATTGTGAAGGGGAGAGGTGTCTCCAGAAAGGTGCTCCCTGTTCTGATCTAATGTTTCCTTATCAATAGTGATACATCAAACCCATCCTAAGTTGCTTGTGTGGCTGCATAGCTCTCCAGGGCTTTCTGTGATGTCCACTTTAAACAAAACAAATGAGAAACAGCAAATGAATGCTGTGGTAATCAACTGCAGACTGGTCTCAGGAATGCAGTCTTGGAGACCCGACTGAAATACTACCCATAGGGAATGTTAGGATTAAACATAGGGAGAAAAAAATCAGCCATGGCAGTGCTGCCTGCATGTGCTAAAGCACGCTGCTGCAGAGGACAGCCTGTAAAAATATCATCCTGCTGCTGCTTTCAGAATTTCTTTTATCCTGGAGCTTTTCATATTACCAGCTCTGTTTTGGTGAGACCAAGGGATGATCTGGCATAGTGTCAGGTTGCTGGCAGGTAGGCAGGAATAATCCTTCTTCCCTGTGTCCTTCCAGTAATGAGCTGGTGATTGCATCAGGGCTGTGAAGCCCTTTGATGGATGGATAAAAGCTGGATCTCTAATTGTTCTTTGAATCCATTTCCACTTTGGATCTCACCGTATCTTTGGCACTGAGCTTTGTAGCTTAATGTGGTTGTTGTTTCTTTTCTGTTAAGTCCACTGCTCAGTAATTTCATCAAACACTCTCTCATGTGCAGTGAGAGGCAGCGATTGTTTGCTGTCAATTTCTCCATATAATTCATGAGTTTATAGAACTGTTGTATCATCTGTTTTCCTTTTTCAGCTGAAAATCTGATTTATTTGATGCTTTCCGAATGGCTGCTGTTGCATACTTATCTTTGTCCCCATTCTATTTGCCTCCTCTGTGTGTACTCTCCCTTTTTAGCTGGTGACACCACAATTGCATAATAAATTTTTGTAGTGCTGTAACAGTAACTTCTGTTGTGCTCTTAGAATGTTCTCCTTGCCTTTTTGACTGCTGCAGAGCACTGGGTGCTACTCTGAAGGTATTGGCACACTCTGAGTCTGAGGGTTTTTGTTTGATAACAACTGAACTCAATCCTGTCATGTCATGGGTATAATTAGGGTTGTTTTTTCCCGTATGCATTGCTTTGCATGGGATGACTTTGTGCTGCAGACTTAAAACTCATCTTCAGGGACTTCCTGCCTGTAGGGTGAGTTTCACTGGAGAAACATTGAGTTCCTGGTTTGTTTGGGTTTTTTTTTTATTATTATTTGGAGAAAAGAAAGAAAACTTCCTCTCTTCAGTGCAGCTGGGATTCTTAGAGCTCTGGGACTTTCTGGACCTTCTCACACTGGACAAATTCTTTAAGGAGAGAAACCTGATGTGCCAAACCTTTTCTCTGCAGAATGACAGAATATTCCCATTTTCCCAGTTTCTCCAGGATGTTTCCTACAGCCAGGCAGAGTTGGAGAGGCAGGTGTGCAGTGGGTAAAGAGGTTCAAAGGTGCTGTGTCTGCTTTGGCTCAGCAGTTCTTGTTGCTGTTCAGTATCAGCACAAGCAGCTCCTATAGGAATGTTTGTTCTGATAACCCTCCTGTGCTTCTGTGCAGGCTCACAAGTTAGGGCTCATTCCAGAGCTGAGCAGTATCTCCTGGAAGAAGCAGATCCCACTCTTGTTTGGCTGCTTGAATGCAGGGTTTATGTTTAATCTCCCTGCAGAAGTTATGTCTGATTTTATGCCATAATTTAAAGCCTCCTGTAGATACTATTGCTGTCCCTCAGCTCGTGTTATGGGGATATGCACATGCAGAGGAAATTACTCTTTTATATCATGAATATTTAGTGATTTAGTGAGACACACACACTGCATGTTGTCTGTGCAACTTGCACATATGCTCTTAGGCAAGAACACACAACCAGTGGCAGTGCCACAAATAGATCCTTAATAGGAAGTGGTGGTGGCAAAGCTCAGTCTTGTGGTAGGATGTGGTTGGGGGCTGTTGATTCACATTTTTACATCCTATACAGGTTAAGTAGATGTGGTGAAGCTCAGCTATTTCTACTGACAGGATGCTGGGTAAAATGTTGAATTGGAGCAGAAGTAGATGCTGAATGAAGGCTGAAAAAATAGTGTGTGTCTGAGCTATGTATAGTGCTTCACGTCCTTATCTCTTGGCTGCCCAAAAATGGGGTGGATGCATCCTTTATTTTTGCCTTTTGAGCTCCAAATAATGTCCAGGGAAAGCTGGACTGTAAAAAAGCAGAATTTAAAACTAAATGAAACCCAAGATCTGTATTAAGTCGATTCTCCTTTTGCATTTCTGCGGAGATTTTGTCTCTGTTCCTTCTCCTTGGGGGAACTGTTTTAAAATTCCCAAGTTTATCAAATTAAAGGAGAATGAATTTTTTATAGAAAAAGACAGGGGTGCTGCTTGCTAGATCTGACTGGACTTTAAACTGTGGCTCTCCTGCACGTCTCCTTTCGCTGGGAATAAGTCTGGGAGCGCGCTGGAGCGTGAGAGGAGACGGGAGTGACAGAAGCAATCACGCTCCAAGGCCCCTGGAGCGCTGAGCAGCGCTGGCCTTTCTCTCAGAGCTCACTTTGCCTCCTCCACTGGGGATTTCCAGTCCTTTCCGAGCTGGGTTACTCACTGAAGCTCTGCCTGGAGCTGCTGATCCTGTGGGGCCGTTTGTGATGGCATTCGTGTGTTCCTGGGGTAGCTCCAGTGCTGCCTTCAGTGCCCAGCTGTTTGTTTGCCTCCTCTACAAAAAGTGGCTTCAGAATGTGGCTGTGTTTAATTGCCATTAGGCACAGGAATATGAAGTGCTATTAGTGTTATCTGCTCTAAATGGACTGCTGAAATATTTGAGGAGGTTTTGTGTTAAGGTGGAGTGAAGGACTTGGTGCCTGTAGGCACATCTGGGATGGTGTCTGGTTCCCCTCTCAGGTGTGGTTTTTGTGCCTGTGGAGTCTGGGTGATTTGATTTATTGGGAATGTTATCATGTAACATAACAGAGGATTTTGAGTCTGCCACTGCTGATCCTATTTAAATTAAAAGACTACTTGTTTAAGTACCTTTCCACCATCTGCACAAGAAATAGAACCCTCTGAGAAGATAAATAGTCTGGTTTTATTTCTTCTTGACAAAATTATGGCTTTTAATGTGGAAGTGCTAAGCCTTTATGTACCGTGGATTAACAGAGTGAGTGATCTGAAACATGGAGATCTCTTGGTGATGAGTTCTCTTTATTTGGCAATGCTGGAATTGAGACTTTTGGAAAGTATTCCTAAGGCTTTCAGGGTAGTTTAATTGTCTCTTGACAAGGTGGCTTCTCTCATGAATTCCCTCATCATTGATGACAGAACTCATTTTGTTGAGCGTTTGTGATTTATGTAAAACCATAAGGGGCTTGATTGTCTATTGCCAAGTAACTGGTAATGTCACTTACATCCCCTTTGTGTTGCCATAATCCATTGCTTTGGGAGCATTTGGAATGCACCTGATGCAAGACAAACCTGCCATATGGAGCAAGAAAAGTTTCAAATTCAGCGTCTCCCAATGCTTTTCAGGTTAAAACCAAAGCAGAACCTCGCTTCAGTGGAAACCCAGCATGCCTGGGGGTTTTGTGCTCCAAATCCTCCTCCTTTCACCCAACTCCTGCTAGGAATCCTTGCTGATGATGTTGCTGGTGCCCAAATTTACCCCAGAGCTGGAATTCCAGAGGCTTCCATGCACTGTACCTGATGTAACCACAACTATGGCAATAAAATCAGCAGCATGAACTTTGTTGTGGAGGGGCAATAACTTCTTTTTTTATCAGTTCCAGCACTCAGAGGCTGAGGTTAAAGTCCTTTTCACCAAGTGCTGCTGTGAAATGTGGCTGTGTGGGCTGGGGAGCCTTGCAGTGGAATTGATCTAGGAATGAGTCCAATGCTCAGACTTGCAGAGGCATCCTGTTTCCTTTTGAGAGGAGGGAAGAAGGACAAATTTCTGTGGGGGCTGAGCCTTTTGTGATGGGATGGAGAGGATCTGGTCTGTGAGAAGCAGTACTCAAAGTACCCACCATCTCCTCTGCTGCTCTCTGGGTTCATACAGCAAGTTTGTGGTGACTTCTGTATTTAAAGATTTTCTGGCAGACAGTTCTCACTCTTCTCATAGAAATTGCTGATTTGGAGCAAAATTGCTCTGATAATTTCTTGTGTCCTCGGAATTTGTGCTGACATCTTTTCTCCAAATGCTTCTCTGTGTGTCCCTTTTTGGGGAGGAGAGGCAGGAGAAGCTGGGATCCAAATGCACAGCTGCTCCTTACTGCTGCTGCCCACTTCTGTGGCTTTTGTAACTCAGAATAAAGGTTTTGAGGGACCTTATGACCTCTGTGAGGTCCCATTGCAGCTCCCTGATTCTCCCTGGGGCATAACTAGACTGTTAATTATTTGGGTTGGAGGCCCAAATCCCCCTCTGTGTGGTACCAGTGGGCTACTGGTTAAAAAGGCGGAGTCTCCTTTATTTCCCTGACATCTCCTGCTATGTTTAGCTGTTTATTTCCTTCCCATTTTGCTAATGCTGGTGTTCGTGCAGACACATGGTGAGACAGATTAGGAAGCTGATCCAGCTGAAAACTAACCCATTTTAGTGAGGGAGTGGGAAAGGATTTGTTTGGGGACTTTTGCTGGCTCAGAGAAGAAATAGGAATGAGGGGAAGGGAAAGATGCAGCAGCCTGTGCTCATGTTGGATTAAAGTGGCTCTGGGCCCACAGCCATGGTTGTTGTTGTAAACTGGGTGTAAATCTCTGCTGAATGATTCCAGGCTCCTTTCACCCTTGATTTTGAACCTGCATGGAAGCTCTGCTGTCTCCCTGTCCTTCTGGAACACAGGGACTGGCTGCACTGCTGAGTCTGCCCCTCTGCTCTGTGATGCAGGGCTCTGACTGACCCATGTTGTGATGGCAGGTGAGTACCTGTGAAATTCACACTGATTGGTTTCTCTTGTTTGTTTCCCCAGGTGATTTCTCTGGCCAGCTTTTAGCTTATTTGAGTCTTGGTCCAATATTCATTATTGTTGGCTTTGTAACACTCATCATATTCAAGAGAGAGCTTCACACGGTGAGTCCTTCTCTCCCTTCCCAGCCTCTCCTTATGACAAAAGTCTTTTCCTTTGTCACCTGGGGCTCCTGTATTCACACTTCTTTTTCTCTCTAAAAGGAGCAAGCTGAGGAAAGCCATCTTCCTGTCAGGGAACAGCAGGAGACACTTAGCACCCGTGGCAGGTTAAAAGGCTGCTCAGCCTTTTCTGACTTCTCTGTTACTCGGGTGTGTTTTGGACACTATTTGTCCAAAGCCATCGAGGGAGATGCCTGAGGGAGTACAGGATGCTGTTGCAGAGTGGGAACACTCCCAAAATCCAGTAGGATCATAGCACTGGGCAGCATATGCAGGAAATGGTGTGTGTAACTCAGGGGGATGCACTTGCTTTGAACTACTGAGGCAGAAAAGGGGATAAAAATAAAACCTAAAGCTTTCCAAGGCAGTGGATCTGTCTTTAAGGGCTGTTTTTCAAATGTGAGCTGAATACCAGGGGCAGAAGAGATTTATTCCAATCCAAATTCTTAAAATACTTTTTATCTGCTCTGCCAGGTAGTTGGGAATGGATAAACTCCCTCTAGGACATATAAACCTCTTGTAGCATTTGTCCTCAGTAAACATCTAAAACAGGGGCCACTGAAAGGATTTTGAATGTAGGGCCACAGTGTCATGGGAACCAGTGGCCCAAGGGACCTGGGAATAGGCAACTCTTAACTAGGGAAGGCAGCTGCACAGTTTTGACAACTCAAAGGTTTTGTGTTGGCCCAAAAGATAAAAGAAGCCAGAGTAACTATTGCACAGATTTATAGGCTTCTCAATAAAGGGATTTGCTTGGTGTTGAGGTTGAGTGTCAGTTCTTCATGTGGGAAGTCACCACTGGGCTGGAGAGGGACACTGGCTGCCTTGCAGCAGCCTGATCTGTGGCTCAGGATGAGGAGTGAAAAATTGCTTCATCATGTGGAATGGGACTGAGTGCTAAGGAGGCAGTGTCATCACCAGCTGGGAATTTGATCACAGCAGCAGGACTAATTTAGGGGAGGTGTATGAACTGTGAAGTTGAAGAGCAAAAATAAATGCTACCAGGTCTGGCTTAGCTCAGAATGTGACTTCATCTTGGACTGAAGACAGCAGCTTCAAGATGAAAATATTCATAGAAGGAAAAGCCAGAAAGCCTAAAAAGTCACCTTTGTTTTAAACTATTTACCCAAATAACAGTGTCTGCACTCCCCCTGTTGGTCATTGGGAAAAGCCAAAGTTCCCAAAACCTGCCCTATTAAAAAGGTCACTTTCTGCACTCACTGGTGCTGGCAGAAGTGCCCTGCTCTGCCATTTTTGTCTTTTTGTGTATCAGCTGCTGAAAAGCTGCATGTACACAATATGTTGCCATATAGAAAGTGAGATGAAAATAAATGCTTTTCTTCTCAGGTGTAGAATTTGGAAGCCATTGGTTTTAACTCTAGTAGTCAGAAAAGAAAATTAGAAGCATAATGTTTGGGGTTTTGTCAACAGAGAGAGCCTGGTAAGTAGAAGGATCTCTTGGAGGGGATGACACAGCTGTCTTGCCTTCACAGATCTCTTTCTTGGGAGGGCTGGTGTTCAACGAGGCAGTGAACTGGTTAATAAAAAATGTAATCCGGGAGCCTCGGCCGTGCGAAGGTAGGGTGTGCACCATGTGTGGTGTGGCAGGGGAGTTTGGGGTGGAATGCTCATTGTGGGGGAGTTTCAGGGGTTTTCCTCCTTTGCCTCACGTTGGCTGTGGGTGTTTGGGTGTAAAAAGGCTGACAGAGCCTCCTGAGCAGGGACATGTCCTGTGAACTTTGTGCATGCTCCAGCAGCATGGGCTGGCTTCACATCTGGAGTGTTCCAGCTGCTGACCATACCTTGACCATCTTCTTTTTTTCTTTCTCTTCCCAGAAGCCCATTCTACAGTGACCACAAAATATGGGATGCCGTCCAGCCACTCCCAATTCATGTGGTTTTTCTCTGTCTATTCTTTTCTGTTCCTTTATTTAAGGTAAAAAATCCGGGTCAGATTTTGGCTGTTAATATGTTACAGCACCTGAAATGAGTGGGATAATGGAATTAAGTCTGAGGACCTGCGCAATTTATTGTGGCTTGGTGGGATTGGAGCTTGAATGACTCAATCTGCATGTAGGGCTGGAGTTTCTTTTTCTAAGCTATGATGATGCCCTAATGTGAGGGAAGAGGTGGGAGATAGGGAGGAGAAATGAAGAGCTGCTTTCTCATTTTGTCTCAGTTTCAGTGGGGTTATCTACAATCTTTTGGATAATACCAGCTGCATGACTTTTTAGCTGACTTCCCTTACCAAGTACTGGGTTTGCCTGTGGTTCAATGGAATTCTTGCTGGGGCATGGCTCTGGATGGAGGAAGACAAAGCTCACAGTTCCTCCTGTGGGTGATGGAGGGACTCTCTTGGCTTCCTGTTGCATGTGCTCAGCACGTGCCTCTCACATCAATGTGAGCATCCTGCCCTCCCTCACAGCAATCCCTGCTCACAGCTGGAGAGAAGCACCTGTGGCTTCCTGGCTGCTCTTTAACTGCTGCCAGTGGGACAGATTGCTGCTGGGGTGGGATTGAGCTGCCCATGACCCCAGTGGAGTAAAGCTTTCCTAGGGTTTCAGGGGAAGGGAGGTGAGGAGTGCTGAGCTCCCTGCCCTGTGCTCATGGCTCTCCTTCTCTTTCAGAATGCACCAAACAAACAACGCGAGGTTTCTGGATTTGCTCTGGCGACACGTGCTGTCCATCTGCCTCGTCACAGTGGCTTTGCTAGTCTCATATAGTAGGTATGGAGCAGCTGTTTCTCTTCTGCTCTCACACAGCAGCCCTGGCATTCCTCATCCTGCCTTTCCCACCTCATTCTGCACTGCAGCTTTGTACAAGTGTTGCCATGAGACCCAATAAACAAAAGTGCTACGTGTGTGGTGCTTCACAAGTGTTTACAAAACCCCAAATCAGCTGAGCTTGTGCCAGTTCCTCATGGGCTCCAGTGCCATGCTCCATCCAGCTTCACTGCCTTGCCCTCTTTCCAGCACTGAGTGTGGAGGCATTGCCCCATCTGGGCACACCATGTGGATCACTACAGATGATCAATCCCACTGTTTTGCTTGCTCATTACTTAATCAAAACATTTATAGCTGTTAGCTTGCAAGATTTAGTTAAGATGGAGAAAGAAAATGGAACTGTGATAGTGATTTTTTTTTTCTCTTTAGTAGATTAAGTGTAAAGTGAGCTCCAGTAATTGGAAAAACAAATTCAAGTTAGAAATAGGGTCACATTTTCCACAGGAAAGTAATTACCTGTTGGCACAGTTGAATGTATGCTACAGCTGATTACTTATTACTAATTATTTTAAAAGCCTGACAGGACAAATTTGTCAGAGGTATATGGTCTAATTAAAACAAAATTAGAGGAAATCAAGTGACCTATGCTAGACAGAAGGTCAGATAAGATGATCATAATGATATGTGAGCAAAAAGAATTTTGAATGTGGCTTGTGCACACATATAACAGGCCAGCAGTGCAGCTCTGAGTGGCTGCAGTCACAGTGAGCACATTGGTCATGCAGCCTCTGTGCCTGTCACATTGGAGAGAACCAAAATCACAAAAAAAAATGCTGTCCATGTTCTTAAAAGCCTTTAAGCCCCAGCTGGCCTGGAGGAGACTTGTCCAACAGGAACTGCCTTCTGAAAAGTTTCTTGTGGGAACTAACAGCATTAGTTCTTCAGCTGATCCAAAGATGGATGAACAAGAATGTGGAGGGTTATTGAGTTAAGCTCAAACTAGAAGTGCTCCAAGCTGAAACTGCTGTAGCAGAGAAGAATTTCCCCCAGTTTTTCCCTCTACTATTTTGCCAGCTTTTTACTGAAAAAAGACACCCACTTTTAACATCTGGAGGATAACTTGCACCCATGTCTGTGGGTCCAGTGACACCTCAGCTCGTGATTCTTGGCTCCTTTTGTTTTAAAGCCTGTCTGGTGACTCTTCTCTTCCACTGCAGGGTTTATTTGCTTTACCACACCTGGAGCCAAGTCCTATATGGAGGTGTGGCAGGAAGCATCATGGCCATAGCCTGGTTTGCCTTCACACAGGAGATCCTGACTCCCCTCTTCCCAAGGATAGCTGCGTGGTAAGGCTCTTTATTCTGTGGAGGTTTGTTGTGGATGTTAGAAATGAGAATTCCTGGGCTCTGTCCCAGTTTTGCATGCTGGCTGTTGTGTAACCTACTTTGTTCCTCCATGTTTTCTTGTGCATGCATCTATACAGAGGATCATATGTCCTTGGTAAGGGTGGGGAAGAGGGAATTCAATCAATTGCTACATTTTGTAAATCCCTACTAAAGCTGTGAGGTGTGGCAGCCTGCTGGAGGAGCTTTGCAAGATGAACAGCAGACCTTTCTTAATGAATGTCTAATGACCCAGTCAAATTGCAGTGCTATTTACATGTAATATAGTCTGGAAATATTGCATAAGGAAAGAAAAAAATGGTTTTTTAACATGTAACAAAGCCTGAAGTGATAGAATAGTACTGTTAAGTAGAGCAGGTTTTGGGGTTTTTTTTTGTGGTTTTTTTAAATCAAAATTCCAGTGAAGAAAGTCTAATTATTTCCCCCTTTCTACCACATTGTCCTTTTTCAGGCCAATTTCAGAGTTCTTTTTAATCAGAGATACCAGCCTCATTCCTAACATCCTGTGGTTTGAATACACAGTCACAAGAGCAGAAGCAAGGTAAGTTCTGTTGGGAGTGGAGGAGCTGTTGCAGTTCTGACCTTTCAGATGCAGTTATTAATTAAATTTCTGATATGTAGCTGATAATTTTGGGCTGCTGTGGGTAGAATAGCTCAAAGTAAGGAAATACCAAGTTGTGGGTTAATGACTGCATCTGAAAGGTGAGTCAAGAATTTAATCTCATTTAAGCAGCATTTCAGCTCCTTGGCTTAAGGTTTTTGCAAGCAGTTGTTTATAATCTTGCATCCCCATGTGAGCTTGTTTACACTGAAGATGGGGTGGGTGTTCTGGGAGTGTGGAGAGTGGGAGGGAATGATCAGCTTGGTGGGTATGGCAGGAGCACTTCAGTTTTGTGTGGAGCTAAGCAGAGGCATACTTTAATCCTCCTGTGTTTGCCTCTGGCTTGTTGCAGCCCCCTGGGATGGGCTGGGTGTGGTGGTGTTCAGAGGGGTCCCAGAATGAGGGAAGAGATGGGAACCTTTACTCCATGTTTCAGAAGGCTGATTTATTATTTTATGATATATATTACATTAAAAGAAAATTGTATACTAAATCTGTACTAATGAATAGAAGAAAGGATTTTACGAGGATTGAAAGGAATGGTAATAAAATCTTGTGACTGCTCGCAGCCTCGACACAGGTGGCTGTCATTGGTCATCAAGTAAAAACAATTTCGCATGCTGGGTAAACAATTCTCCAGATCACATTCCGAAGCAGCAAAACATGGAGAAGCTGAAGCTTCTCAGGAGAAAAGATCCTAATGAAAGGATTTTTCATACAATATGTCTGTGACAGCTGTGTTACCTGTGCCTGTGCTGCCTTGCAGGAACAGACAGCGCAAGCTGGGTACGAAGCTGCAGTGACCGGGACCAGGGCGCTGTAATGGACAGACAAGAGCAGAGACCTGGGAGCAGCAAGGAGCCTTTTTACAGACGGACCAAAGGAACAGGCAGGGACCATACCCAAAACCTGAAAGCCTTTGCTCTGCTTTAGCAGCTAAGCTGGATGCTCCCTGATGCATGTGGGACCGTGCAGGAGTAGAAACTCATTTTGAACACAGATGCACATGGTTGGATGTACCATCGTGTCTACGTCAGGGGAGGGGGGAGAAAATGCCTGGTGTCGTGTTCGGGGGAGGGAAAACCAAAAATGAATCCTTTCTGTGACTTTTTTTTTTCAGCATGAAATATACACACTATTTATTTATTTTTTTAAATGGAACTATTGTTTATGGGGTGGGTGAGGTGTTGATTGTGTGTTTTGCTTTTTTTTTTTTTACTTTTTCTTTTTGGAAGAAGATGACAAAACTATAATCTCAAGTTGGTCATGTTTAATTAGGGCTTCTAATTCTTACATGGTTCTTAGGAGGGAGGGGATCTAGGAGGGGTGACCAAGACAGAAGGAAGAGGAAGACTTTCCTTTCTGCAGTCAGTTTGGGAGATCAAAATCAATTCCAACTGTACTTTGTACAGACAAAAAGACAGACTATAAAGATCTGATTTTTAACACTAGTGACAGTTCTGCAGGGAATCCTGCACGGATACCAGTTAAGAGGAGTGTGTGTGTAAAACAAAGGAAAAACACAAATATACTGACTCTTATTTTTTTTCCACTGCTGCTCCTGTTGTGTAATTAGCAAGAGTGTCCTTTTCAGAATCTCTTCCAGGTGGCAAGATTATCATACATATCTCACATTTATTCCATCTCTTCCTTTATACTTTTATTATCTCAGGGTTGCTGTGATCAGTACAGCTTTTGTTGTACTGAGTGTGCCGAGGGCACTGGGAAGCCCATTGGTTATAAGCAGTGCTGTGCTCCAGTGAGAGTCAGCCCAAAGCCTTACAAAATTCAGTTGCTGGTCTCTGTCTTAAGCACTGGATTTTTTTTTTTTTCTGTTAAAGCTTAAGGGAGGGATTTTTATGAATGAACATAGTGACAACCACAAAAGAACAAGGCAAATGACTAATAACTAGCTCAGCTGCTCTCTGAATTATTCCTTGAAGAGCCCTATTAGACTCCATCCATGAACTCCAAGTAGGGAATTTATCCTAGCAGAGGCTCCATCACAGTGGCTTGGTTGGGGTTCTGCAGCTGTAACCTTGAATGCTGAACTCCTACCAGCAAGTTTTGCTCTCCATCCTTCTTCCATGGCGTTGTGGCGCTCTGGGGGCTGTGTCTCTGTGGGAGTGTGCCTGCCATCTCTGTGTGCTGGTGATGCCTACGACCTCTGTGAGCCATCAGTGACCTGCCAAGGGCTATTCTCACAGTGCTTCAAGGCTGTGCATGGACACTTTCTGTATTTCTAGTATATAATGCAGCAGTTCAAGTGTAACTACAGAGAAGTATTTATTCAAAGCACAATTGACTTGAACTTTCACAGATAAAGGACAGCTTCTGAACTGGCTCAAAGGTCATCGGTGTGCCTTCGATGCAGTCATGAGCAGAGGTAAAATGACTGTCACATCTCAGTCTTGCTGCTTGTTTTACTATCTCCACTTTAATCAGACTCCTGCATTATGAAGCTGCTTGAAGTCAGATTTTTTTTTTCTGTTCATCCTGGTTATTTTTTTTTTTTAAAGTTTTCATTTGTGCCTGTTGCTATAGGAGTTTGTGTGTTTGTGTGGAGCTGCTGTTGGACACAGAGTGTAAACTGTAGAAAGTGATCCTGATTCAGGAGATCAGGAATGAAGGCTGTTTAAATTTCTGTGTTTAAATAGCTACGGGTAGTAAATTAACTGTTTTCAGTTGGTACAGCAAGTGTGTATATATATATATATGAATTTTTAAAGAACTGTTTAGCATAACATAAGCAATCCTGTAACATCTGAAGCACTGGATCTGCTTTGAAGGTGCATCATAATCAAGAGGCATCTTAGAGCTTTCACAAGGACATTTGATCTGCCTTAGACCAGCTCTGTTGGCATGAGACAGGACATCGGGCAGGTCCCATGACATGGTGGTACCATATGTTTCAGTTTGAAAACTGGTACTTATGTCTTGCAAAACCATTCATTTTCTCTTTATATCTTTTGTAAGTGCACTGACAAAGCCAGAACAGAGATCACACCTCTCTTCCAAGGTTGCTGAAGGAGTGGATTGTTTCAGGAGTGGCTTAGCACTTCCCCAGCCTCTCGAGCTGTTACAACAGACTGCTGGAAAAAATAAATAAATGGAAACACCTATTGAGCATAGGGAAGAGGGTTCATCTCCTCATGGAGAGCAGTGCAGTGTAAAAAGCTGTTCCACTTCATGTTGCCTTCAAACCCAAGCTTCCTACAGTAATTCTTAGGAGTGAGGGAGAGGAAGAAGAGCTCTTGTAAGACACTGTAATAAACTCTCCTCTGTTCTCTCTAAGTTGTTTGTAATTGCATCTTCTGCCTACTTTTGCTGTACCTTTTCAGAAATCTTTGCAATACTTGATATATGGTAGAAATCCCTTAGTGATTCCATGGATTTTCTTAACTAAATGGTGCTGTGCAGGAAAAAGATTTGAGCTCTGCCTTATTATCCTACACTTGTATGAAATCTCCTGCCACTAGTTTTCTGAAATTGAATGTTTTCTTTGGAATATGTGGCTTTGCAAGCAGATGCTTTCTCTTCCTCCCCTGTACTCAAGGGGGCTGGATGGAGATATAACAATAAAAGGAAGGTGACAGAATGCTGTGGTTCACTGTTCTTGCTGTCCCCACACAATCATTGTCCCATTAAGGGCAGTTATGTAACTTCTGCAGTGTTTAAGGAGATTTAAGCCTTTTTGTAGCATTTATCTGTTTATTGTGTCCCAGTTTATTCAACAAACATTTCCAAACTTTGCAAGACATGGATCCCGCTACCCAACAGTATTTAACACAGCTAACCAGCAAAACATGCAACACTACCAGGCTGTGTCAAAAATTGCACTCACCCCAAGAGTTATCTTAATATTTTCAGTTTATGAGTTTCTGAAATAATTTGTTCCAAATCAGTCAATTTTCTGGAGCTTTAGTTTCTTCTACTTAATGTGCCTTTAAGACAATGGGCATCTCTTGACAAAACAATCAGAAACAGGGAGAAGAGTATTCAGTAAGTCAACAGTGAAAAAATCTTGAAGATACAAACCAGAAGGGCATCACATTTTAGAACTTGTACAATAAGAAAAGACTTTTTAAAGGAAAAACCTTGTCATGATTTTAGTGTCCTTTCAAGCACTTTAAAAATCAGCCTCATTCATCTGAATTTCAGCTGTGTGTTTTAGCAAGGATGCATTAGGTGGTTTATGAATCTTGTATCTCTTTGTCTGCTCCCTGCAGCTGTACTCTGCTGAAGCTAGTGGGATGTCCAGATTTAGTTCCAGAATAGATCAATCCAATCTTCTGAGGTACAATCTTCAGCAGCACATGCTTATGCTTAGTCTTTAATAGGCACTTTGCTTTGAGAGCCTTCCCCTTTGAGACAGAAGTGGAAAAAGGCCAGTCCCAAATACTTCAGTGGTGCTACTTGGAAAAATAATTCTTCCCCTGGTAACAGAGGCTGATTCAGTATGGGGGGAGGATTACTTTGGCAAAATGAATATTTTTTTTTCCATGTAAAAGGCTCCATGAATCCAGATGTTACTCCAGTAAGGTTTGTTCTTGTCTGTAGTATTTACACAATCACTTAGAGTTTGATAATACTGAGTATCCTCTTGCAGTTTTCAGTCTGATTGATACAGAGGAGTCACCAGAGCAGGGATTTCTGCTTGCAGGTCTGTAGTGCTCCTATTCATGCTTTTAGGCTGTCTCACTCCATTCAAGATTCTTCTAAAAGATCAACTAAATCCATGTAGATGATGTGAAAGTGGCAGTTCAATCAAGTTCAATACAATCACTGGCTGTGCAGGTGAGTTTCAATTAAATTTTCCTCTTTTAAGGTATGTTATTAGGTATAAGACAGAAGCTTTGAATAACATCCTTTCAGGAAAAAAAAATGCCAAAAGCATTGGCATGTGTATTTTGAGAAACAAATTAGAATTATTTTTTCTTCTTTTACTTTAAAAAGCTTTAGTGCAAATTTGTACATATATGTTCATTAAGGCACTTTGATCATGTCCCTTGCAATTATTTCCCTGTTAACAAAACAGGCCATCACACTCCTAATGCTTCTTATTTATGGTGACATCCCAGCAGACACATCTTGAAGGGTGTGCAATTTAAATACAGAATTCCTACTGCAGAAAGAGCACTAGAATTCTTTATTACCATATGGTTTTACTAAATAAAAGTGTAGTCAGGAGCTTGGGTTCTGACAGATGGGTTGGAAGTAGTTCCTATGCTACCATTGTATGTTAATGTTTATATATAATCTTCTACTGTCTCAAGTTTGTCAACTGAACATAAAAACAGTATCACATGAGATCATTCTCTCACAGAATAAAGCTGACACAAATTGGAGTAGTATTTCAGTAAGAAATAACTCCCCAGAGTGGCAGAAAAGGTGCTGTGCAGGAACAGTGCAGAAAAAAACCTACAGCTTTCTTCCTGTTTTTCAAGATTTTCTGCCTTGTTACAACAGAGTGAAAGAAGGGTTTCTGCAGCTGTTTCTCCTTTGCCCTTTAACAGATTTCACCTCTGTGGGCCAGGAATGGAAGTATGTGTTGGAGTTCCTGATCAGAAACATCCTTATTTGTCCACAGCTTGGGCATAACATTGTGCACAAAAAGGCTGTTTCTGAAAGCAAGGTGTAAAACCACATTGGGTTAATGTTTGTGTCCTGAAGGACATCAGGCATGTGGCTTGTTCATAAAGAGTCAGCATCTTTTTCTTTTCCTCAGCTCCAAAGTAAGGAACAGTGGAGCAAGTGTCAAGCTAAATGTCTAAGAAATTCCTTCTCATCTCTGCAGATGTGAAGGTACCTAAAGCCAAGGCTGGCAAAACTTACATGAGGAGAGTTTTGTAGCAGCTTTATGGGGAAAAAGCTTAAGGCTGAGCTGGATGATCAATGGTAGGACCATGGCAGGAAGCTTAACAAAAAGCTCAGAGCAAGAACAACAACAAAAATAACCTGAAACAGTAAAAATCACCTTAGTTTGTATCAAGTCATGTCCTGTTGTTAAGAGGGTCAGTATAAGACGAAGGAGATGCCAGTGTCCTGAACAAGGGGAAGGAACATTCCTGCAGAGCCTGTACTGGCTGGAGTGCCTGGGATAAGCAGTGCAGTGTACTCTAACAAGACTGGATCTGCTCTGGCTGAACTTCCTTCTCCTCTTCCTGGAGTTCAATTATGAGGCTTTGCTGGAGCAGTTGAAAAATCTTCAGTCAAGACTGGAAGATGCTCTTAGAAGATGAAATCAGGAAAAAGACTTGGTCTTACAGTAGTTCTATCATACAACAATCATTCCCTGCTTCTCATGGACAAGAACTACCTTCCTCACCAAATGGATTTAGCCACTGGCAAGGACTGTGCTTTCTGTACTCCCTTACAGTAGTTTTCATAAAAATCATATTTGTGTCCTCTTTGAGGACAGGAAGGTGCACTTTGCATTGATGGGAGAGGCCTCTCAGTTCTACTTTGGTTTGAGGCAGTGTTTCCTCTCGCTACAGAGTCTGACGTCTGCGGGTGACTATTCTGTAACATCTTGCTGAAAACAAATGGTAGATATCTTTGCTGTTCTCTGAATTGTTTTCTGAGGAACTGGGAGCTTCAGTGCATCAGGGATAGCCCATTTAACTGGGGGTTTCCCTCTTACAGTTTGGATTTGGGAGCAGCCTGGAGCAAGATCCTCATGTCCAGCAGTGCTTTCTCAAGGTAGTGTGCCATGCGGGCGGCGTTTGTGTCAGCACAGCTATTGAAGGCTGAAATTGCAAAGTTGATGTGTTCCTCCATGGGGTTGTAACACACTCCGTAGCCATCTGGAACCACGGGACCAAAACACATCACACAATCTGTCTTGGCTGGGACCTGTGGAGACAATGTGATTAAAACCTTCTGACCAGTCAGAGAAAAATGAAACCATCAAATGGAAACAGCTCTGTCAACAGAGGAAACTCATCTCATTAAACTGCTCTAGAAGGGCCTTTGGTCACCCTCACCTTCCACCACATGTGCTGGATCCTACTATTTAGCAGCAAAGTGTTTTCTGCATTTGCACAGGAGTGCTTCTCCCCAGGGTAAGCTTGCAGTAAGTCACAAGTGGAATTATACAGTAAAAATCAGAGCACAGCATTTAACACAAAGCTGTTCTGGCTGCTGACTTCATTGATATCACTTGGATTTAGACATCAAACACTCTTGGTGGTCTTGGCTTTGGTTATGTTAGTGTTTTACGTGTCTGTGAGGGACTATGGAAAGCGTAAGATCAGATCTGTAGCTTTGTGGGATCGACAGCCAGCTTAGAAATTTCTCACCCAATGTAGA